ACCGGCAAACGGTGACCCGGCGAACGGTCACTGTGACTTGAGTGGAGGCTGGCTACGTGCCTGGGACGTGCCTCCCAGATTTGAGCGGAACGTGGGAAAAAAGGATTTACGATTCTGTTGCCGATGACGTGCCTGGTCATGGTCATGGTCATGGTCACAGCATGTGTGTGTGTGTGTGTGTGTGTGCGTGCGCGCATATGTGTGTGTGCGGGCTTACCTGTTGCACATGTTAAAAAGTCATCATAAATCTCAGCGTTGTGCCAGAAGAGTTTCTCTAGTGCGGGCGGCTGTGCGTATGTGTGTGTGTGTGTGTGTGTGTTGGGAAAACGCGTTTTCACTTTTCATGCTAGTGAGTTTTCAGTGTCAGTGTTTGTCCTATCTATGGAATCTGTGTAAATTCCCGGCTTATCATGCAAAACACGTAGCCACGTACCCTCTGATCCTGGGCCAACTCTTGAGCTGCTTGCTACTCCTTTTGTGCAACATTTTGTGGCCATTTCCCGCGAACTGCATTTACCTTCTGCTTGTTGGGCTTAGGCTGCCTCCGGATCACGCAAGCACCAAGTCTTAATAATTTGTATAAATATTTATTTTTGCTACCGATTTTTATCTACCAGCAAGGTGTGCTGCCCCTCCTCCCTCTCTCTCTCTTTCTTTCCTTCTCTCTCTCCCTGGAAGGTGTGAAATTTAATGCCACTTGGCATCGATCACTTCAACCGAAGGAGGCAATGTTCAGGGCGTTCCTTAGGACATGTTTTGCATTGCTGAGCAAAAGGCGACACGTTTCTCAACTCATTTGCATTTCTCATTGATTTCATCGAGGCATTCCAATAGAATACACCTGCTTTATAAGGCAGCGGGTCTGCCTAACAGCAACAGCTGTCAACTCGATTGTGGCACGCTTCAAAGAAGAAGACAAAGTTTGAAGCTCTTCTTCCTGCCGCAACTAGCTTTATATGAACACCATATATACCCTTACCCCTAAGGCGTCCAAACCTTCATCTTAATATTAAGTTAAGTTAATCGACCCCAAAGCCAACGCATTGGTTCGAACCCTCCTATTTCATCTTTTCTGGGGCTTAAAGTCCCTTCTTAAATAGTTATCAAAGCACAATATTTTACGATCCTGAATAAGCTTCTAATCCCAGAAAATTATAGAAAGAAACGCCTTATCTTATATCGAGCGATTATCATATATATTTATCAATTTATTTGACTATTAAAACCGCAAGAAACAACCCTATTAATTTAAATATATAACGTTAAGAATTCGAAATCTTACACACTTTATATAGCAAAGATACATATTTCTGCATAACCTGATTGAAAAACAAAGAAAAGTGAAGGTCGATCGATACGTTGCCCGTAGAACAATGAACAACTGAAAGATTTCATCACAGCGCGATCTTTGCGGCAGGTTTAGTCAGTGACAGTGGTAAAAAACGATGAATCATACCGTTATGCGTTGCCAAAGGCATTGCTCAACACACACATTGCCAGATGATTAACTAAGCGCACATTACGCATAATCAATCGATCCGGCAACACAACGGCAAACACGCTCAATTGGAGGCTAGTCAAATGCACAAATATAGCTGTGCATGAATGGTATCAATGGAATGCGCCCAAGAAGTTTGAATACCGAATGAGATTCAAGTTTAAAAGACCGGATTTGCTGGACATGCAGCATGTTGCAGACTGCAAGAATGCTACTCTTATACGCTTACGCTCTCGAACCACAAAACGAAAACACAACATGCAACATGTTCGAAGCTAGTTGGAGCAATGCAGCCAAGCGTGTGCTCCCTCTCTCTCTCGCTCTCTCTGCGTCACTTAATTCAGCCCCGTTAGCTTGTTTAAAGAAATTGCTTGATGGTTAAACAAAATTGAAAACTAATTTTATTTAAGCAAACCAATTTAAGTTATTCTTGAGTAGAACACTCACGAATGCAAGCAAATGCAGCGACAACTTGGTTGCAACCGGCCTGGCACAACATGTTGTGACACTCTCTCGCCTCACCTGCCTGTTCGATGGCAACCCACCCCCAACGCATGCGAGAAGTTGCGCGGCCAGCTATTTAAAGAGCGCGCTTGCTTGGAGCTGCTTTAGTTGCGTGCGAGACGCGAATGCGAGAGCATCGTGAGAAAAAGAAACAAGTTAAAAACAAGTTGAATTGCGTGAGACTCGGCTGCGGAACGTTATTAACAACAAATTCAAAATCGAAATAATATTAATAATATCAAGTGCGTGTGCAGTGCGCGTTGCTACAAAACAAAACAAAAAAATATATATATCAAAGAAAGCCAACAAAAATAGCAACTAAAATTTCGCTCTATGCTCAAAATGAATTTTATGAGCATTAAAACAAAGTTCAAAATTTTCAAGCAGCAGCAAAAACAAAGTGAAAAACTACAACAAAAATACTCGAACTGAAGCGGCAATTGGATTAAAAGCGCGCCGTCCCCCCTTTTTATTTGTGGATAAACAAGACGCAGACGATACCAAAAATAATATTATAAAAACAAAAATTCAAAACAGAAAATACATAAAGGTAAGAGGAAGACAGCCAGCCGCAGCAAGTTTGACCTTAATGAGAAAAATTGCAATAGAAATTGTCACAGACAGGCAGAAAAAAAAAAGTGTGAGAGAAATAAGTGCAGCGAGCGGAGCGGGGGGGAAGGGACAGCGGGGCGCGTAATGAGTTTGTTCAACTCAACAGTTGTTGCAAGTCGTGTGTGTGTTGTTTTTTTATTGTTGTTTAGGGGTGGCAAGGTGCAAGTGTAGCAAAAAATAATGCAAGCACACACACACACACACGCAGCCTGAGCATGCAAGCGAGAGAGGAAGCGAGAGCGCAAGAGGGCATTAGCGAAAGGGTCATGTGAAACAATGCGGCGGCAATTGGCGTTTGACCAGCGACGAGTTTGAGTTAATTTCATTTCATACGCAACATGTCTACTGTCTGCCGCTGCTGCTGCGCTGCCGCTGCGCTGCTGCTGCTGCTGCTGTTAATTGGCAAACGTGCAACACGCGAGCGACAGCAGCAACAAAAAAATTTCAAATTTTCATGCTGTTTGCTTATTTGGTGCAGCTTGCGCAAAATGTAAATGTTATAAAAAAAAAATTAATAAATTAATTAATTAATAAGCAGCGGCTGCGATTTCGTGCCATATTGAAATGCCACACACAAACACACACACAGAGAAAGACAAAAAACAAATGAACAGCAACAACAACTAACGGCCCCCGCCTGCTGCTAGGCAACCAAGCAAGACAACAACAAACATGCACAGTTAGAAGTGCGCTGCGAGCTTCGGTTCGCTCCCACACACACACACGCACAAGCATAATTACAATAACAGCCAAATAATGAGAGTGAGCGAGCGAGCGCTGCGGCGCTGAGCGCGACTTTAAGACGCGCCAAAGTTAATGTGTGTGCGCGTCCGTGTGGGTGGGAGGAAGTGAACGTTGCTTTTAATGTATGTGTGTTGTGCAATGGCAACCGTTAAATTCAAAACTTCAGCTGCGTTTTTTTTTTCTTTTTTTTTTTTTGCCTATTGTTAAGCGACTTAAAGAAAAACAGAATTTAAGTCAATTTGGGCGTGCAAATTGAGAGAAAGAAAGATTTCATTTCATTACAAATACAATTCGATTTGATTTCTATTTCTATGTATGTTGCTTGCGGTGCAGCCGACAAAAATGTCATTACGGGTTTTCGCTGTTGGTAATTGAAACGAATGCGATTAACATAATTTGTGGACAACACAAAAATGACAACAATTTCGTTTATTAGCTGATTGGTTGGCCCATTAGCTTGACGGCCTTGGCATTGTTGTTGCAACAATCTTTAAAAGCAATTTAGTTATGTTTTGGGCCAGCTTAAAATGCTGCAGCAAATTTTGTGCATTAAATGAAAATTACATAAGCCCATGACAGTGGAAACTCGCTGGAAGGCACGCACAATTCATTTATATAAAAAATAAGCTTTTTTTTTTTTTGGAAGATTTTCTGCACTTTAAAGTTAGTCAAAAGATTGGAACTAACAAGAATTTGCAGATGTCTGGTCGTTAACAGAGTTTATACTGTACATAAAAATAGTTTAGGACCACGTTTCCCAACACTGCCAGCCTGCCACACACTCAAGCCAAGTGAAGTTCCGTTTGCTTCCAAAAACACAAAAGAACACAACGAAGCGTAGGCGTGAGGGGGGGGGGGGGGGGGGGGGGGGGGTGGGAGGAGAGGAGCGCGCTAAGAAGTGACGTCGCCTTCAACTATTTTCCCGACGTGGCTAATTTTAGTTGCCAACTCGCCCTTAACCAGGGGGGGGGGGGGGGCGTGGTTCAACTGGGGAGACGAGCACCAAGAGCAGACCATCAAATTTTATGGGCCTCAGGCCGGAGATGTTACTGCTGACCTACATACAAACAAACAAAACATACAAACAGGCACTTGGATTAGAGGGGGTGTGCTGGGCGCGGAGGTTGCTGCAAGCGGAAGCAACGGAAGGGCGCAGGGGGAGGGGGAGGGGGGGAGCCTGGTACGTCCGCTAGGAATGCAAGTCGCAAGTTCTGAACGATAAACAATTCGCTGGCAGAAAGAAATGTTCAAGTTTTGTAATTGTTGACATACCCTGTAAACCAAACTGACAGAATGGGTATATTGGTTTGTAGAGAATTTGAAAATAAAATTGGGCCACAGCACAAAATAAAATAGTCTCGACTTGCTGCAAGCACAGTTTGAAAGTCACACGCGCTGTGCTTACAGTTTTGGCTTCACCAAGCCAAATGTCGCCTTGCAAACAGTTTGAAGTCGCTTTTACAGGGTATGGCACAGTCGCTACTCATTTGTTGTTATTGCTGTTACAAGACGCTTGTTTTATGAATAATTTATGTACCTAATTGATTTTTTGTTTATTGTGCGCTACACTTAATTAATTATAAACTTTTTTCGCTCTCGCTTCTTTCAGCGCTGCCTACAGACAAGAAGAAGAAGAAGCAGAAGGGAAAAAAACACAAGCAAAGAAAAGACTTTTGTGAAGCGCATAAATAAAAATGGAAGCCACAACAAACAGCACAGAAAGCCACACAAAGCTGCAGCTGGAGGAGGAGCAGCAGCTGGAGGCGCCACAAGCGGCGGCGACGGCGACGGCGACGGCAACAACGGCGACCATCATTGACATTCCAGCGAGTGCTGCAATCACCTTCGCCTCCAGTTCCTTCGCCTGCTCCTCCTATGACACGGACTGCAGCACGGCGAGCAGCACCTGCTGCACCCGCCAGGGCGAGCACATTTACATGCAGCGCGACAAGCTGCAACCTGCAACAATAGCGGCCACAGCAGCCGCCGCAGCAACAACAACAACAACAACAACAACAGCAACAGCAACAAATCAACACACAGCATACACAGCCACAGCCTGCAACCTGCCGCCGTTGGAAACGGATGAGCTGATGCTGCTCAAGTTCGAGCACCGCAAGCATTGGCCATGGTTCATTCTGATGATCTCCGTCATTGAGGTGAGTTATAAGCTATAAGATGAGCGAGAGAGAGAGAGAGAGAGAGAGAGAGAGAGAGAGAGAGAGAGAGAGAGAGTTGTCACTCTATTCGCTATAAGATGAGCGAGAGATAGAGAGAGGGAGAGAGAGAGAGTTGTCACTCTATTCGCTATAAGATGAGCGAGAGAGAGAGAGAGAGAGAGAGAGACGGAGAGGGAAAAGAGTTGCCACTCCATTTCATTCATTTCCAAATGTTGCCAACTTTTGCTCAGAAAAAGAGTGAACAGCTCATAAGTGTTTCATTTCCGCTTGTTCCCACATTACTGTTCCATACACATTTTTCATTTTCCATTTCCATTCCATTTCAATCCACTTCTTCGATTTTAATAACTGTTTCATTTCCGCTTGTTCCCACACACACATTCCGTTTTCCATCCCATTTCAATGCACCTTCAAACTTTAATAACTGTTTCATTTCCGTTTATCCTCTGCTTGTTGCTTCGCCTCTCATGCATTTGAAAAAGTTCCAACGTCACCTGGAACTACTAGTTCACAATTGTTACTGTTCCATTACCCTGTGTCTGCACTGAAGTGAACAAAACAGCAGCCTCTCATAGATAATAGCCTTTTATAGTTGTTGTTGTTGTTGTTGTTGCCGTAGTTGATAATTTATTATTATTATTGAATCAAAGAACCGCAAAATGCAATAAAAATTCGTTGAGGAACTTTACAAATTCTCAACTTCCAACTAAAAGCGATAAAATTTGCTGCTTTCTTTTGCGCATTCTTACACACACACACGCACATAGAGACACCGACACACGTCTCTGGCTGCCTGCCTGGCGCCCCCAAAATCGATTGTAAACAAGCTACAACAACATGGCGAGCATAATAAAAACTAAACGAAGAAACAGACACAATAAGTGCGAGCGAGAGAGAGCGAGAGAGAGACTGTGTGTGTCAGAGCGAGCGCGCGTCTGTTTCAACGTAAGCCAAAATAAAGTTGGCAGGATTAAGCAGCGGGCCGTTATATATGTGCCTGTGTGTGTGAGTGTGTGTGTCATCTATTTGGGACACGAGAAGTTCGACGTCGCGTGTTCCGACAACAACAACAACAACACATACATAAATCAGAAGCAACCCCAATTGGAATTGCAACTCCAACTCCAAACTTTAGCTAATGCCTCTGCTATTTGTTTTTTTCCAGATTGCAATCTTCGCCTACGACCGTTACACAATGCCCGCCCAGAACTTTGGCCAGCCGGTGCCCATACCCAGCGATTCGGTGCTGGTCTATCGACCCGATCGCCGCCTGCAAGTCTGGCGTTTCTTCAGCTATATGTTCCTGCACGCGAACTGGTTCCATTTGGGCTTCAACATTATCATACAATTGTTCTTTGGCGTGCCGCTGGAGGTGATGCACGGCACCGCACGCATCGGTGTCATCTATTTGGCCGGCGTCTTTGCCGGTTCGCTGGGCACCAGCGTTGTCGACTCCGAGGTGTTCCTGGTGGGCGCCAGCGGCGGCGTCTACGCCCTCCTGGCCGCACATTTGGCCAACATAACGCTGAACTATGCGCACATGAAGTCCGCATCCACGCAACTCGGCTCTGTGGTCATTTTTGGTGAGTACCACAAAACGCATCCTGCTCCTTAAGACAGCCCAACTAACTGACATTGTTTGCTTTGCTTTGCGTTTGCTCTTCCCGCCCGCAGTCTCCTGCGATCTGGGCTATGCCGTCTACACGCAGTACTTCGATGGCGCTGCCACGCCCGCCTTTGCCAAGGGCCCGCAGGTCTCGTATATAGCGCATCTGACCGGCGCTCTGGCCGGCCTGACCATTGGCTTTCTGGTGCTCAAGAATTTTGGACATCGCGAATACGAACAGCTGATCTGGTGGCTGGCGCTGGGCGTCTATTGTGCCTTCACCGTGTTCGCGATTGCGTTCAATCTGATCAACACGGTGACCGCACAGCTGATGGAGGAGCAGGGCGAGGTGATCACACAACATTTGCTGCACGACTTGGGCGTGTCCTAAGCAACAAGGCAAATATACAAAAAACAAAAAAAAAAAATATTCAAAGCAGGAGAGAAACATAGACAAAAAAAAATAGAAAAAAGAAACTAAGAGAGAAAGTTCAATCGAAAAACTGATTTTAGTTACAAACTAAATTCGAAAATTCGTTCGGCTTAACTTTTCGTTACGTTACGTTCCGTTCCGTTCCATTGCGTTCCGTTGCGTTCCCGTTAATCGTAGGCGCGTTTCATTTCCAACATTTCACGCAGAAAGAACCGAACAACAACAACAACAACAACAGAAAAAAGAATCACTCAAAGAACGGGCCGAAACGTGTAAACAAATGTTGTGATAGAACCAAAGACTGAATTTATTTTGCGTGTAAAAAAACAAAAACAAAAATAATTAACCCCACCCTTAAAAGCAAACCCTAAACAAAAAAAAAGGGGCATAAACTATAACAAATCGCCTCTCGCTATGATTTCCTATACAAATGTTTATAATTTATTAATTTTTTTTCCACTTCTCTTGTTTGTTTCTGTTTAAATTATGTATTTATTTGTGCTAACTTATTGATAGGATTTTGCGATTAAATGAATTTGATGCGAACAAATTTTTGTTTATATTCTAGACGATTTTAATTTATTTAAATAAATCAAATAGCCCCGCCCCCAAAAAACTATAGATATATATATAAGTATATATAAATCTATGCATAACTAGACTAAAAAAAATTGTTTCAAATTGTAAATATTATTAAGTCGCACACTAGTCAAAAACAAAAACAAAAACAAAAAAAAAACCGCATCAAACAGTAATTAAAAATTCAAATAATGCCACTAAATGCGTTCAAAATTCACACAAATATTTATTAAAACAAATCGTAAAGCCAAAGATAACAACAACAACAACAAAATATATCAAAATAATTGTAATAGAATAAAATGCGAGCATTTTTTCCCACACAAATTTGTCGAAAAAGCATTTTCAACTAGTTAATTACAACTTGACATATTCACCGACAAATACGATTACTATATACATAAACATATATATATATATATATATATATATCGAATAATCACAGCAAAAATCAAGAGTTAATCTAGCGTAAAAATCAGCAAAGCGTAAGCCAAAAATTTAAGCCCCGCCCCCCCACTCAAAACATATGTTAAAGTAAAAGCTAAGCTAAAGTAAATAGTTGTGACCACGCCCATTATAACCAGTACGCCCCCAAGGTCCTCCCCGTCCCCGTCCCCTATAAATGTGCACATGCATGTGTCAAGAACAAGACAACAAAAATAGCAATGAAAAAAGAAGAAAAAACAAAAAAAAAAAAAAACAAAAAAAACAATAAATTAAAATTTGAACAAAATAAATGTCTAAATTATAAATGGAATAAAACGAGTGTTTTTGATGCAAGTGAAAATTGGTTGGGTTGAGTTTTCGCAAAAGGAAAACTCATTTTACAGGAAAAAACAACTATGGCCTGGCCGAATCCCTGTGGATATACTGCATGAGGCGGAAATGTATCTCAATTAGATACACAAAGAAGTTTTTGGTGGATTTGAACAAAATAGTTCACAATTGAAACCAATGTGAACCAGTTTAAATATGAACCAAAACCATTTTGAACCAGTTGCTTAAGGAACAGCACGGAGTGGAAACGAATCGTTGCGAAACGGATTAACTTTTTGCTATGAACCAAAAATTAGACCAAAGACAAAAACAACAGTTCAGAAATTTCAAGGATCAAAGTCGTAAATTTCTTTTAAATTAAAAGATTTAAACCCAATCGGATTTAGTTTTTATTATGAACCGAAACTTAAATCAAAGAAGTTGTCCAAAAAGCAGAAAAGTCAAAACAAGAACAACTTTTGTGAAAGATGCAGCACCAAAGCATAAATAGCCTTGGCCCCAACAACTGGATACATCTAATCATAGAGATTAGATGTCAATTTTGGATAAAGCTCGAATATAGCCCGCATTTCGTATAGGAAAATATGTAAATATGTTTGACAATATTTTCCGTAGAACGGGCATTTGTTAATTAACAAATGAATTGTTTACTTAATGAACCAAAAACTGGGTTCATGGATTTAGAAAACAGGTTCGCGAAATGAACTAGTACCAGGCAGTTCGCTCAAGCCGTGAACTGAACCAGTTTTGATTATGCAGCCCTGAAGAATAGCTTGATAAGATTTTAATAATATTTGGAAGAAAAGCTTAACTGAAAAACTTAAAAAAGTATTCAGAAGCTGAACGTCCTAAACAAGGAAACAAAACTTTAGCCGGAAGAACTGAAGGAAAACGTCGCAATCTGGCAGATAAGTTAGATAAGTTAAGCTTTTAAAAACCAACTATCGACTATTTTTTCTATCTCACCAAGTCACAAGCTGAGTTTAGCTTAGCTTGAATCAATATCCGGCGTGCAGAAAAATTGGCCCAACGCAGAAAGCAGAAAGCAAAGCTGATCTACGCAGTTGGCGGCTGTGAGTAGCTTTTGAGCTGTGTGTATTTCCTTCTAAATGGGTTTTTCTTGCAATGAAGATGCAATTTTTTTTTATGGCACGTATTTGTTGACATTGGGTCTGTAAAAATAATATGCCGCCCCCTTGAGCGGCACTTGGTTTGCCCTCTTACGATCGTTGATCTTTGATACCCACTTGAGGCGGGCAGCCACCGGGCAGCTTCCTCAGTTGAGCCACTCGATGCGAACGGGCGAACCTACAGCTTCAACTGGCAACATTTTGGGGCAGGTGGGATCTGGGGCTGCCCGCTGACTCGACAACACAATCGCGCCAAGGCAAACGCAGGCAAACGGCGGCGGTGTTGATTGAGTTGCACCTGCCATTCGCAGAAACAAGCCGAACGGCTTCTGCCAGGGACACAAACACACACACACACACACACTCACACAATTGTGTGGCAGGGCCCACAGAGAGAGAGAGAGAGGGGGAGTATAGGGGGGATGGGTCTTATGACCGACGCCCGTTTCTTCGCGTTATTTATGTGGATTTTTGGCTCAACTCTCAAGTCAAGTCGCCTGGCGGCGTCTGTCGACGTGGCTGTCGTTGACATTTGCCTGAATTTCAATTTGATGCGACGTCGACGTCAACGTGAACGACGAGGCGGCAGCTTCTGTCTGCCGCCTGCTGCACATAAATCTCAGCTGTTTGTACACTCAGCGAAAAACCAAAGCTATTCTAACAGAATTACTTATACTACAACAAAAACGAGCTAGAACTCTTTTGATAAATTTAAGGCTGATTTTAAATGCGATTCAAGCACTTTTGTACTTAAAGCAAGCTTTTTTACTCTTAATTCAAGTACATTTACTCTTAATTTTAGTTCTTGATTTAAGATCTGCTGCTGATGTGATCAAGTTTTAATTATTAACTTTTTAAGCATGAATCTTGGTTTAAGTCTATTAATTATTATTTCTCTACTAAATTGCGTCTCGCTTCAAGTACATCTTTTGAAAATTCTTAAATTAAGCCCGATTGCATCAAGAAGTAAAAAGCAACTAATTTTCTAGCTGTTCTTAAGTCAAGAATAATTAATCTCAACTATTTGTCAACGTTTTAGCTAAGGCTTAATTTATGAATTTATTGAACTTTATTTTGACTTAATAATTGATTAATTTAAGAATCTTATGACTGAAAACAAGTAAAAATCTTACATCAAGAATATTCCATTATGACTCAAGACAATTTGACTAAATGACTTAGATATCCTACATAATTTGTTCCCAAGAGTATAATTTAACGCTTCAAAAATAAATTCAAGATTAATTTAAGCAAGCTTCTTTGCTTAAGACAAGCTTGCTTCAAGGACTTACCTTAAGTATTCAGTTGAATGCGATCTAGTGGAGACATTTCTCATATCCATAATTTAAGAGCTGAGAATAAGAAATAAAAAATGAGCGTCAGTTTTTAAAAATCTTGATTCAAGAACCTAATGCCTTAAAATAAGAACAATCCCAAAGTCCCCAGTTCTATAATTACACATTTTTGGGATACAAAAGAGAATAACAATATTTACTTAAAGATTCCGCAGATGTTGTCTACACTTCAACTGGATTTAAATACAAAACTCTTAGTTTTTCTCTGAGTGTACGGAGATAGATGGCAAGGGAGCTACGTAATCCTGGACGCTGAACCGCCCCCAAAGCTGCTTTGGAAGTTTGTTCTCGAGAATGACAATGACCACAAGACCCAAACCTCTGGCACAGCTCCACTTTGAACATTAACCAGGGTGTGTCTGTGTTTGGATTATATAATTGGCAATGATACGATGCAAATGCAGTTATAATTGGCAGATGCAATCAACTGCTTCCGATTATGGATCCTGACCAGCTGGCAAACGTTATGAGCATCATTTTCTGCATCTTTGATTATGCAGACTTTGATTATGCTTGGATATTTAGTTAATATGCAGTTATATAATTAATATGCGCACAATTATTTTATTGCTATTTGTTATCCACAAAAGAACATAGGGAGTAGAGGGCGGGTTACAGCAAGAGCTGCGGAAGGAAAGAGATATGAAGTGAATATTGGAATATTGGAATATTAGAGTATGGAGATTGGATTGAATAAAGTTTGCTGGCATTCATAGGAGATACGTACAAATCCTTTAATTTGCTGCACAGCAGGAGTTAAACTTGGCCTGTGTTTCGTATACACATACATATGCATAGATATATGCACACACATATATACATACATATATACATGCATGCATACAGACATTTGAAATGTACGCACAAAATGTACACAAACCCAAATAAACTTAGTAATATAACATTTCACTCACTAAAAAAACACAAAATCCTGCATGCCCTACTTGAATTCATGAGAATACATGCATTCAGACATACATATATACATACATACATACATACATGCATGCTTCTTGCATGCTACATACATGCATACCTCATACATGCTACATACATACATCAATACATATTAACGTATATAAATACATACATGCATACGTAAGACGTAAACAAACATAGCTGTACAATAAACGCACAAAACAACTTAAAAAACACACAATTGAACTATGAATACTTGCTGAGCTCACTTGAACTTATGAGAATCACATAGTAAGGCGCTACCTCAAAATACGTTTTCCTTTGAATTTGCAGGGCAAAAGAAAGTAAATTAAGTCTGCATTTGGTACATACATACACAAATACATACATACATAAATATATACATACATACATACATACATACACACATAAGTACACATGAAAAGTTTTAAGAGACCACCAAGAAAAAGCCCAGGCAAGGACATAAAATCCCACACTCGCTAAAACTGCGATTTATGTAGTATCTATCAGGATATCTCCCCCTAATTTAGCTATTGCTATTAGGGGATTCTCAACGGCAAATCGTTAACGTCTAAGTAGCCTGTTTTGTTGTTTATTTTTTTTTTTTAGATTAAACACGATTCCCATTCACAAAGGCCCACCTCTTAGGCAGGCGTCTCCTTATCATAAGTGCTCGGCGCTCGCATAACAACTCCATAGCCGAAAGTCATTTGATGAGACCCTGACGAGGGCAATAATTATCCCATCATGAGTAGCAGCCAGCAGCAGCTCGGCTCGACTCGGCTGCTGGGCAAAGGGTAATGAAAGGTTATGTGGATGGCACTGCTCCTGCATCGCAATTGCACTCAATTAGTTGGACTTTACCTGAGCATTAGGAGTCATTGAGTCAAGCGTAGCAGGCCAAGTAGCCGCTCCAGGTGGGCGCTAATTGACAGGACGAGTAAAACAAGTGTGCTCTAGTGGAGAATGGTCGACTAGAAGATGCCCTAATTTCAGCAAAAAGTTGCTATTCTAAATATTCTAAATAATCTTGATTAACTTCGGTATTTACAGTCCGATGTTTTTTAAATTTTCAGAAATTAACTATGGCATACAAAAGCGTGTATATGCCGAAGAGCAAGGTTTTATCTCTACGAATTTGAATTTTCCAATTTTCTAGGGAATAAGGGAGAGGTATCCCAAAAAGATATATTTTTATGTGTATGAGCCTTCATACCAAATTTGGTATGTCTAGCTTTTATAATTCTCGAGCTATGCCCTACAGACCATGTCCCAAAATCGATATTTATCGATATAATGAGGTTAAGAGGTTAAGAGGAGTTATCGAGCCAAAAATAATAAGCCTAAGCTTCATATGGCACGGGAAAATATATATTTCCGATTTGAATACAGACGGACAAGACAAAACAATATACCCTCTTTGCCCAATTTCAAGGGGTATAGTGTCAGTAAGTGGGAATCAGAGCGAGAGAGAGAGAGATGCAAAGACAAATATATAATGCAACAAAAATGAAATTGTAAATAAGAAATGGGAATGAAAGAACACACAATAATTTGGCAGGCAGCTGGTCAGGTCTGACGCCAGGGCAGGAACAGTTTGAGACGCAGTGCATCCACCCCGTTCATATAGTAGCGCAGCAGACGCTTCTCGCGTATGAAGCCCAGGCTCTCGTAGAGACGCAGCGCCGCCTTGTTGGTCAGCTCCGTTTCGAGCACGATCTCATCGGCATTGGCCAGCAGCATCGCCTCGACGGCCTGCTCGACGAGAGATGTGCCAATCTTTTGCAGACGATATGCGGGATCCACCGAAAGCATGGCAATATAGCCCTGCAGAGCACAGCCCAGGGATTCCAGCTTGCAAACAATGACGCCCACGTAGCGTTCACCGTGACGGGCAAAGATGCACAGCTCCGGCCAATTGTAGACGAAGTAGCGATACGTATAGATCGAATACGGCTCGGAGAGCTCCTTGTCAATCAGATGCTGTATGGCCTTCAGTTCGGATTCGTCGCTGAAAATCGTATATGTTATCTCTGGTGGCACTTGCTGCCCCTCGGCCTGGCTAACAACATCCTTTGTTTCGCTCATCGTTGATTCAACACATATTTTTGAGATTATTTTTTAAAATACGTAAGAGAAATGTTTTCAAAATTTATCAAAAGCGACTCGAAACTCAAGCTAAGGCGACCTTCTAATCGGAGCTAGTTTCCAGCTAACAGCCGAGTTGATATCCTGGCAATTATCCTGGCTGGTGGGTGGCATCCGCCTCACATATTCACCTTTGCTTAAACATTGACAACTCAACACGCACACGCCTGGGATTTAAGCATGTGATAATAAGCCTAGCGTAAGCCTGATCGACTGCCAGCTACCCTGTAAAACGTATGCATATGAACTAAGAGACTGAGCGTCTGCTTTGTCATAGGTATTAAATATTCCCAAATATCCTTTGTCTTAAGATGACACTCAAGAGCATACTCCAAAACTATACAATGTTTGTGAGGGGAGCGTGGAAAGTTTTACAACAATTGTGTAATTCCTAATATGTGTAAATTTTCTACAGCTAGCCAGAGATCTAGCTCCTCAAGCATTCAATATGTGCTCAAAAAAGCGATATTTATCGATTTATCGAAGATAGTTTTCTACTACAAAATTAAAATGGAAGTTATTTATCGATATTTATCATTTTTTGGTTAATCAAGCCTAGAAATCAAAGTGAATGGAGAGGAAAATATTCAAATTTTGTGTCTTTGCGTCTTACAATCATAAGAAAATGCCCAATATAAGGATATTGAAAATCGATATTTATCGGTTATATATAAATGAGAGCTTTAAGTATTAGGAATTAATTTCTTTGAACTGTGTTTTCTCTGATGATATTTGATTACATTAGTTTTTTACTAGAGAGCTAGGGTATAGGTAGTATAGGTATACGTATAGGGTAATTGGTAATATACATTATCGATTTTTAATAAAGAAAACTTTCTCCAAAGCTTTAGAAGGGACAGTTTTGCTCAAGTAAGCATATGACTGACGTTAACGCAGCAAGCTTCCTTCAGCTTGTTAGAAATTTCGACAAGTTCGTACTACCCTACTTGCAGCCCTTTTCCTGTGCAGGGTATGCTTATGAAAATGACTGCAACGACTTTGACAGTTGCCTGCGTCCTGTCCTGCGTCCTGTCAGCCCTTCAGGCAAAGCCTTTGTTGTCTGCGCCAGGACCCAAATTGCCAGGCAGCACGCACAGGTGATGGTCGCAATTGGCGCCTCGAAATTTTCCTCTGGCTGCTTGTTGGGTTTGAAAGGAAGTCAAAGTCGCGTTTTAAGTTTTTGGCTAATAGCCACAATGAGCTCATATGGCTGGCCAGTCGAAAAGGTGAACCCGGCGACACGGCCAAAGGCAATTAAGCTAAAAGCCCACGCAGCTCCAACTCGAAATTCAATATGACCGCTGTCCGGACAGTTTTTTGGTGGGAGGGGGACGCATAGATTAGAGGCGGCAACATTTTGATTTCTGCCCCCTGGCAAATAGGTTGTTTACCCCGTGCCCCGCCTCAGGCCTAGCTCAGCATTTGCGCTAATTTGTTTGTCAGCGCCAGTTTCTCCACAGTCTAAATGAAATCCTTGCAGTTTTTGGCCCTGTTTGTGGCGGCCAGGCCTCAATTATATGCACATTTCTGTCGCATATATATTTTTTATATAATTACTTGAGTCGCGCAAAAAACGTTTAACTTCTAGTCCTTTGTCCTTTGTCCTTTGACAGCAGCAGCAGCAGCGAGGTCAAGCGGCTCCAGCTTCTGGGCAGGCTCTTTCATTTCTGAGCCTCCACTTGTGTCCCAAGCCTTTTTTTCTATGCCCCGAAACCAGAGAGAATGGATAGAGAGGGTATATTGCTTCGGTGCAGAGGCAGGAGGCGACGAATTACCTGACTTGAAATTTGGGATATACGAACCTATGAAATTTTCGATTTATCGATAAATATCGATTTCGAGGAACGGTACTTTGGCATATTTTGAAGATTATAAGAGCTAGACACACCAAACTTGCCATAAAGATTCTCAGAAAGTATATACAGATAAGAAATATTTCAGTTTTGGAATACTTCCCACCATTCCCTAAAAAACTGTAAAATAAAACATATTTTTAAGAGCAGAGACTTGCGCTTTGGTATTAACATACTTAAGCATGTCATATTTAAATGCCTAAAATTTCACAAAGATCGGACCATGAATACCGAAGTTAACATAGGTTTAATTTCCCTATAGACAATTTCAGGCAAAAGGAAGAAGATTGCGTTCTGGTGAATATGTATAGAAGGAATATTGTCGCTGGGTAACTTCCAGTCGAGCAGTTTTGTCTTTTTGCACAGCCATATTCAGGTCGCAGAAATTAATTATACCATAAGGACATGAGGACATAAGGACACTCGCCAGCCAGGACCCTGCAGCACTTAATGAAGCGGTAAGCGGCACACAAAACAAAATAAATAAAATAGAAAATAGAAAGAAAACTAGCGACACAAGCGAACGACCCAGACAAATTTCCATATTTGCCTCAAGTGAGATAAATGGCCGTATCCTGGCGACTGCAGGGCTCCACCTGAGCTCCACCTGAGCTGCTGCTGCTGGCAGTTTATTAAAAAGTTAACTGGTCGCAGTCCATTTCGTTTGGGTATCTACATTCCTGTGTCCCACAATATAATTCAGTGGGCCTTATGACAGGTACACGCGGACCTTTGATAAGCATGCATCGAACATGGACAGAGTCGTCCGCAGCTCCACTAGCAAGAGCTCGATTGTGAGATACTTTTCCACTTGGTCTGTCGGTCGCTGTCATCGCAGAAACAAAAGCCCATCGCAGGTTGATTTCTGCGTCGCGTGGGACGCACAAGTCCGCACTTTACATGACCAACATGGCTTCAATCCCTTTCCCCGTTGCCCGCTTTCCACTGCTGCATTGTTGCGACTCCGCTTCGCTGGAATTCCTGGACAGCTGCATGGAGCGTGTGCATGAATATGTCAATGTAATGATCTCTCCTCTGCTGCTTGTTGTGTGCTTCGTATCTCAGCTGAATTACATAAATATTAACTTGTACTTTTTATAAACATGTTGGCGACCCAGTCGAAGCCAAGGACAAGCTCTCCGCTCTGCTCTGCACCGTGCTCCCTTTCGGTCGCTTTCTTATTGATATGATTTATTTACTGGGCTCCTCGCTCGCATGTGCCCGACTTGGAGCAGCAAATTCGCTTAAAAGTCAATTCAAAAACTGATTCCCAGTTCATTTGAGCTAGTTCAGTTAGAGAATGTTCACAGATTTTTCTTGTTTGATTTGAATAATATTTGATTAAGATTTTTTTAATAGCCTTTGTCTAGATCCAGGCCAAACCATGAAGAAAGTGCCAAAGCTCGTGAAAATCGGATGAGATTTGACCGAGTTATGGGGTTGGGAAATATTGAGCAATGTCTATATACGCAACTAAGGGGTAACATTTTGACATGAATTTCGACTAAAATTTACATTGTCAGTTTTGAATGCCAGATTATTTAAGAGGGAAAACTGAGCATAAAAAACCAAACCTCAGGGAAATCGGATGAGATTTGACTGAGTTATGGGGTTGGGAAATTTAGACCCATGTCTATATACGAAACTAAGGGGTAAGATTTTGACATGAATTTCGACTACAATTTACATTGTCAGTTTTAAATGCCAGATTATTTAAGAGGGAAAACTGAGCATAAAAAACCAAACCTCAGGGAAATCGGATGAGATTTGACTGAGTTATGGGGTTGGGAAATTTAGACCCATGTCTATATACGAAACTAAGGGGTAAGATTTTGACATGAATTTCGACTAAAATTTACGTAGTCAGATTTGAATGCCAGATTATTTAAGAGGGAAAACTGAGCATAAAAAACGAAACCTCGTGTAAATCGGATGAGATTTGAATGAGTTATGGGGTTGGGAAGTTTTGACCCATGTCTATATACGAAACTAAGGGGTAAGATTTTGACATGAATTTCGACTAAAATTTACATTGTCAGTTTTGAATGCCAGATTATTTAAGAGGGAAAACTGAGCATAAAAAACCAAACCTCGGGGAAATCGGATGAGATTTGACTGAGTTATGGGGTTGGGAAGTTTTGACCCATGTCTATATACGAAACTAAGGGGTAAGATTTTGACATGAATTTCGACTAAAATTTACGTAGTCAGATTTGAATGCCAGATTATTTAAGAGGGAAAATCATGGATAAAAAGCCAAACCTCAGGGAAATCGGATGAGATTTGACTGAGTTATGGGGTTGAGAAGTTTTGACCCATGTCTATATACGAAACTAATGGGTAAGATTTTGACATGAATTTCGACTAAAATTTACATTGTCAGTTTTGAATGCCAGATTATTTGAGAGGGAAAACTATGCATAAAAAGCCAACCTCGGGGAAATCGGATGAGATTTGACTGAGTTATGGGGTTGGGAAGTTTTGACCCATGTCTATATACGAAACTAAGGGGTAAGATTTTGACATAAATTTCGACTAAAATTTACGTAGTCAGATTTGAATGCCAGATTATTTAAGAGGGAAAACTGAGCATAAAAAAACAAACCTCAGGGAAATCGGATGAGATTTGACTGAGTTATGGGGTTGGGAAGTTTTGACCCATGTCTATATACGAAACTAAGGGGTAAGATTTTGACATGAATTTCGACTAAAATTTACATTGTCAGTTTTAAATGCCAGATTATTTAAGAGGGAAAACTGAGCATAAAAAACCAAACCTCAGGGAAATCGGATGAGATTTGACTGAGTTATGGGGTTGGGAAATTTAGACCCATGTCTATATACGAAACTAAGGGGTAAGATTTTGACATGAATTTCGACTAAAATTTACGTAGTCAGATTTGAATGCCAGATTATTTAAGAGGGAAAACTGAGCATAAAAAACGAAACCTCGTGTAAATCGGATGAGATTTGAATGAGTTATGGGGTTGGGAAGTTTTGACCCATGTCTATATACGAAACTAAGGGGTAAGATTTTGACATGAATTTCGACTAAAATTTACATTGTCAGTTTTGAATGCCAGATTATTTAAGAGGGAAAACTGAGCATAAAAAACCAAACCTCGGGGAAATCGGATGAGATTTGACTG